CTTCTAGTTGTTAACTTTTTGTTTTGTAAATTGGAAGTATCAGGCTCAATCAGATTATCCATCTGCAGAATTAAGATATACAAGCAATTTATAAAAAAGAGAAATCTTCCTATTTTTCATTCTCAACCTTTGCGTTAAAACAGAAATTAAATAGAAGTAATATTTGTAATGAAGCTTTATTGGGAAGACTTTTGTTTTCATGGCATATTTGTGAGTTAGGAAGCAGATAAGTGATTTGAAGATGGTTAGTTGCAAGTAAAAGGGGAACTGGAACCCAGGTCTCCTGATTTCTTAATTCATTGTTGCTACTAACTGTGTAGAACCTTCATTTCCTGTGCAACACAACTAGCAATGCTGAAATTTCTGACAGGAAAGCAACCTTTGCCTGAGTTTTCCAACTATTCATATATTTTAGCAAATGTTCAATATGATTTGAAGACTACTACTTGTAGGATTTTAAATGACCATTACAATCTTTTATATATCTTGTTAAAAACACACTGGTATCAAGTCAAATTCCAATTCATAGTGACCCTATAGCACAGGGGAGAAGCCTGTGGGTTTCTGAGACGGTAACTCTTCGCTGAAGTAGAAAGACTCCTCTTTCTCCTATGGAGCAGCTGGTAGTTTTGAACTGCTGATCCTACAGTTGGCAGCCCAATGTGAAACCATTGGACCACCAAGACCCCTTAAATACATGTGTATACATTCTGAAAGCTCAGAGAACCCAAATAATTTCAAATACCCCAATTTCGAAGGATATATGGCACCAATGTTTCCAAAAGGATAAATTAAGAGAGTAATTAAGCAGTTAACTTGTTTAAATTTGCATTTAGTGTGGTCCTCTTGGGTTTTGCTTACTTGTGGCAACATGGCTCCAATAACTACCTGTATCTATTCATATTGACCGTCTGTCTATCCTCTCTTCTAGCACACCAGTTATATCAACAATGATTGCATCACAAGAGCATTAACTTATTGCATTCACAAATACCCTATTCTCAAATATTGTCACATTCTCAGTTCTGAGATACTTTGCTAAGCACAACAAATTCCCTTGTGTTTCCTCTATTTCTAGTTGAGGAATGTGTTTCTATTTTACTTTGTGTTTTCATACTTGGATCATATTGAGAATCTGAGAAGATATCAGGTACACATAAATTGTCTTTTGTGCCTCTTAAAATTTTACACACACACACATACACACTCAACTTTTGACCCATTCCCCCAGAATAATGCACTTTCCTCTTAATTTTAACTTCTGGAGCTGGGGGTCATCATCACGCCCCTGGTAAACTACAAAATTCACTGGCATTGAGTGGAATCTGCCTCAAAGGGACCCTATAGGTTAGGGCAAAATACCCCTGTGCGTTTTCGAGACTAACTCTTTCTATGAGCGTACAAAGCCGCCCCTATCACCTTCGGAGGGGCTGGCGGTTTTGTACTGCTGACCTTGTGGTTAGCTTCCCAACGCATACCCCCTAAGCCACCAGGGATCCAGACACCCACGGCAAGAACACGTGTAACGGAATTCCAAGGCCAGGGCAAGAACCAGTGTCACAGAGTCGCAAGAATATTTCTATAAAAGGAGTGACCACGGACCAGTCTAGAAACATCGCGATATTATTCAAACTTCTATTCCCAACATACAAAGCAGTTCCTTCCTGTTCATCTGGCTCTTCCCAGGGGTCTGAAGGGGCCCAACATGCCTAGAGCGCGAGGGGCACCCTGGGAGTGGTAGTTCCCTGGGCGCCTAAGGGCGTTGCCTGCGCAGCAGTAGAGCCTTCCACAGCGCTAGCCAGCAGATTCTGGGAGGGTGTGCTGAGTCGGAGAAAGGTGAGGCGAACGCTGATTACGCGATAAACGGATGCTTATTGCGGTATTCTCTTAAATCAATTAATTGCGACTAGGGCCTCGGGCTATTTAGGGCCAGCGAAATTTTAGCCTTAGTGGGCAGTGGGTACGGAGGCGCCAGAGCCGGGCAGCTGCAGTCGTACTCGCCCTCCGCGGCCGCCATCCATACCATGCAGTCACTGGAGGAAACCCCGAGCTCTAGCCCTGTCGCCAGCCCCCGTGGGGGGAAACAGCCCAAGAAGATCCACAAACCCACGGTATCGGCTTTTTTCACGGGCCCAGAGGAGCTGAGAGATTTGTTTCATTCTGCAACTGTGATGACACAGCTCAAGTCCTTCTATGACGCGCGGCTGCTCTGCGATGTGACCATCGAGGTGGTGACACCGGGTAGCGGGCCTGGCACGGGTCGCCTTTTCCATTGTAACCGCAACATCTTGGCGGCTGCGTGCCCCTACTTCAAGAGCATGTTCACGGGCGGGATGTACGAGAGCCAGCAGGCGAGTGTGACGATGCACGATGTGGACGCGGAGTCCTTCGAGGTGCTGGTTGACTACTGCTACACCGGCCGTGTGTTGCTGAGCGAAGCCAACGTGCAGCGCCTCTATGCTGCCTCTGACATGCTGCAGCTGGAGTACGTGCGGGAAGCCTGCGCCTCCTTCCTAGCCCGGCGCCTGGACCTGACCAACTGCACTGCCATCTTCAAGTTTGCTGACGTCTTCGGCCATTACCAGCTACAGTCTGAGGCCGAGTCGTTCATCGCGCACAACTTCAAGCAGCTCAGCCAGATGGATTCAGTTAGGGAGGAGAGTCTAGCAGATCTGACCCTGGAGCAGCTGCTGGCTGTGCTGCGCTTGGACAGTCTGGACGTAGACAGTGAACAGACTGTGTGTCAGGTGGGCTTGCAGTGGCTGGAAGCTGCACCCAAAGAGCGGGGTCCCAGTGCAGCAGAAGTCTTCAAGTGCGTCCGCTGGACACACTTCACTGACAAGGATCGAGACTACCTGGAAGGGCTGCTGACCAAGCCCCTTGTGAAGAAGCACTGCCTGGACGTTATTGAGGGGGCCCTGCAGATGCGCTATGGTGACATGATGTACAAGACGCTGGTGCCCAAGCCAAACAGCAGCACCAGCTCTGCTGTTTCCTCAGCAGAAGATCCATCCCAGAGGATAGGGATGTGTGCCAAGGAGATGGTGATTCTCTTTGGACACCCCAGAGATCCCTTTGTGTGCTGCGACCCCTATTCAGGGGATATTTACACTGTGCCATCACCTTTGACCAGCCTGGCTCACACCAAGACCATCACCTCCTCAGCTGTCTGTATCTCTCCTGACCATGACATCTATCTAGCTGCCCAGCCCAGGAAAGACCTCTGGGTATACAAACCAGCCCAGAATAGCTGGCAGGAACTTGCAGACCGCTTGCTGTGTCGTGTGGGCATGGATATGGCTTACCTCGATGGCTACATTTACATTTTGGGTGGGCGAGACCCTGTTACTGGTGACAAATTAAAGGAAGTGGAATGCTACAGTGTTCAGAGGAACCAGTGGGCACTCGTGGATCCGCTGCCCCGTTCTTTTATATCCTTTGACTTATTAGTAATTCAGAACTACCTTTATGCTGTCAACAGTAAGCGCATGTTTTGCTACGATCCTAGCCATAATATGTGGCTGAAATGTATTTCTCTTAAGCGGAGTGACTTTCAGGATGCCTGTGTCTTCAATGATGAGATCTATTGTGTCTGTGACATTCCAGTGGTGAAGGTCTACAACCCATTCAGAGGAGAATGGAGGCAGATTAGAAACGTCCCCGTGGTGTCAGAGACCAACAACTACCGTATTATCAACCATGGCCAAAAGTTGCTGCTGCTGACCACGCACACCCCGCAGTGGAGAAAGAACCAGCTGACCGTGTATGAGTATGATGTCACAGAAGACCGCTGGACTAACATAGGCGCCAAGTTAGGCCTCTTGCAGTTTGACTCCAATTTTTTCTGTGCCTCTGCTCGAGTTTTTCCTTCTTGCCTTGAACCTGGCCAGAGTTTCATCACCGAGGTAGAGGAGATCCGGACCCATTCCAATATTGAATGGGAGATAGGTGGAATCAGCGAGTTGGACTCTGAGTCAGGAAGTTCAAGTTCTTTATCTGATGATGATATCTGGTTGAGGCTAGGGCCTCCCTAAAAAGCACAGGGCTATGTGTAGAAGTAGACACATTGAAGTGTTTCTGCTGTGAAAAGTATTTTTCCAAAATAGGTTTTCCCTTTCCTGAGGAGTGGGGAGAAAGATGATTAGCTGCAGTTTAGTTTTGAAAAGGCATTGGTTGAAATACTGATATAATCATCTTAGCACTCCAGGAAATCAACCTATTTAGTAATTTACTGTACCAAAAGGTTGAGTTAATTTAATTGGGTAGTATGTTAACTTTTCCCTATCCTAAGTTAGCCTTCTATTAATTTTTGTGTTCATTTTAGTCTCACAAAAAGTGTAACGTTTGAAATATCATTTTTATACTCCCCCTAACTGCCATCAAGTGGATTCCAACTCATATAGGACAAAGTACAATACAAGTGCTCTTGGGTTTCCAAAACTGTAAATCTTTACAGTGACAGCCAGCTTCATCTTCCTCTAGCAGGGATGGTGGATTTGAACCACCCACCTCTGGTTAGGAGCCCAATGAAGAACCCTCTTCAAAACCAGAAAACTCATTGCAGTTGGAATTGCTGAAGTGTGTATTTTCCTTCAAAACAATCTTGTCAATTTCCAAAAAAATGTAAACATGGTTTCTGTGCTGTTCATTTACAAAATGCATTCTAAGTTAAATAGTTTGCTAAGTTTTATTTTGATTGTCTCACTTTCTGCAAAGGGGGAAAAAATAGGATACCATATGTCTTAAGTATTCAGATTAACCATAAACTATAAATAAATGTAGGATTCCATTTGAAGTTTTAGATTAATTTTGGAATATAAAATATTTACTTTCTGAAATGTACCAATTTTCCATTAGAAAGAATTATATTCTAGTAATGTCACCTAATATTTAAAAAACTTTTCTAAAAAGCAAAAAATATCTTGGCAGGTTTATATTTTTGATGATGTATAAACTGTAGAGATTTTACAGCTTTGGAAACCCTATGTAGGGTCACTATGAGAATCCACTTGATGGCAGTAGGTTTTTTGTTGTTTTTTTAAAATATCTGATACATACTTAAGTAAATCAGAGAAATAATGATTTTTTTTCACTGAACATATGATTGTGTAAAATTTTATCCATTGCCTTGTCTTAAAAAATTTATATGATTCCTAAAGTATTTTGGCTGTGTAGTTTTGGTGTTCAGCATAGAGGACTCTTCAGCAAGAAATGATTTATTCTTTACTATTTGGGAGGCAATGTATGTTTTATAAATATTGATAAGCTAAAAACAGTATTTTATTGAGATCATTAGTTTTTGTGTTTATCAGCTCTGAAATTAAGTGCCAGCAAAGAACTTTATATCTTTAACCTTTGTAAAGAATTGTTTCGTGCAGCCTTGAAATTATCTGTAAGTCACTGTTCTTGTTCTTGATTGGGGTTAGTGTATTTTTATGCCAGATGATAAAAAGTTAAAGATCCAAAATGAGTGATATATTTCCTCTAATATATTTCCCTAGCATTACACAGTCTGGCATTTGTATCTGTTCTGTACTTCTCTGTGTACTATACTCCTGTCTTGTTTTTGGTCTCTGCTTTATCACCAAGTGTAATGAAAAGCCCAGGAATAAAAGGCTAAATTGCCCCAAACTGACATTGTTAGCTACAAGAAAATATAGGTGCGTTCCTTCTGAGGCTTTGTTAATACATATAGTTGTCACAATAAATGTACATGATTAATGGTCATATGCTTATGGTCTAATAACGTTTTTATCCAGTTAGAAAGATCTTCCCTCTTCCAGGTTAATTCTCTCGTGACACAAGGCTCTCATTTCTTTCACACTGGCAGAGTACAGAAACATGTGGCCCAGTGTGGGAAACCTGGCTTTTGATTGAAGTGTCACAGGGTGGAAATAGAGAGTGGGGGAGACAAGGGAGCTTTAAAAAATAGTAGTAACTTTTGGGGGCCATTTTATTGTCCATGTGAAGTGTCTGCGGGACATTCCTGTGTAGCTTTCTTTTTAGTGAAGTGAGTTGCTTGCGCTAGCCATATGCGTTCCTTCAGAGAGTGAACCATGCTTCCGTGGCCTAAAACTAAATTTTATTCCACTTGTTACCAGAGATGTTTTAAGCATAGAGAGCTATTTCACAGTACCATCTGTTTTTTCTTGGCCAACTTTTTCTTCACCACTAATTGCTTGCTGATAGCTTTTTGTTTGTCAGGTTGAACTATCAGGCAATGCTCATCTCAAGCAGATTATCCATCTATAGAATGAAGGCATTGCAGCCAGTTTATAAGGAAACAAATGTCTTATTTGTTGTTCTCAACCTTGGAGCTAAAGCCTGAAGCTAAATAGTAGTAATATGTTCCTTTACAGTGTGGTTTTCTTGGGAAGAATTTTGACTTCATAACATGTTGGTGAATTAGAAAATGGGTGTTAACAATTATTTTATTTTATAGATATGTGATTTGTATGTGGTTAGTTGCAAATAAAGTTGGTAGTAAAACTAAGCAGGCCTCTTGCCATCTTGATTCCGTGTTTGCTTACTTCCACAGTTAGTAATGCTTTATTGACAGTCATTCCTTTGTTGACAGGAAAGCATCCTTGTCTCCATTTTCCAATTAATTAGCTTATCTTTTAGGAAATGCTCAATATAATGTAATTCTCAGGAGAATATTTGTAATATTTGGAATGATTGTAAAAATCTTTTATATCTATGTTCCTGCATCTGTAAAATTCACAGAACCTACATCAGTGCAAATATTTTTAAATTCAAGGGTTAAGTATTATTGATAGTACCAAAAATATAACATAGCAGTTAAGATCCAGTTTTTTGTCTTCCTGTTCCACTATTCTTAGGGGGGTTACTCTGGCCCACATGATCCGAGCTGGCCCATCATATATCCTATTCCAGCCATCTGGAAGGAGGGAAGGGGGTTTATGCACATAATATAGGTTGGATCTATGCCTTTTGGTCATATGCTTGCAAGAATGGCTGGGAGTAGTATATTCTGGCCCACCATGAATACAGTTAAAATTAAGAGGATTCTTCTAGTACATCAAAGGAAAAATGATACTAAACTTTAAGTAGCAATCTCCATCATACCAGCTAAGCTTGATCACATGGTAGCCAGAATGATTGCCAGCATCCTCAAGACTCACATCCTGCTGGCTTGAAACCCCAGTGAGAAGAGGCAGTTTCTGATACAAGCGTAGAAAGTTACTTTGGGACCTGAGCTTGTTATAATGGGCCAGGGGCCACTTCCTGGACTACATGGACCACAGCCTTTGGAAGGCACAGTAAGGTAAAGATTTCCAACAGAGTAAGGCAACTGAGGAGAGAAGATAGGCAGAGGGTGAGCTATTTTGCAAGTAGTATGGCATCAATTTGCAATCAAGAGCATTGACTGAGACATGAAGGTCCCATGGGGCTGGGGGGTTGTGGCGAAGGTGTTTTATGTTTTCACTTGCTGTAGCCCCTGGCGCAAGTGTCATTCCAGCACATGTGCTAGGCCTCCCACCAAACCTTAAGTTGGACTCCCACCCTAAGAAGAACAAGGGGAGCACGCTAACCTCCTCCTACTCAGTATCATGAAGGCAAGGACACTTCCATCGCATCTTGACTAAATAGAGTCTAAGACAATGTACCAAAGTCTTATCCCAACATAAAGGTGGCAATTTCCAAAATGGTAAGTAAAGAGTGCTGAGAAGTGCCTTGATATAAAATGGTTTGGCACGGTTTATCTTAAACAATAAAAGTCACTTATTGAGGAGAAAAAAAGGACATCAGAATTATAGTTCATGATGAAAACTGGAAATGTCTTAGAGCTAAGTTATATACTTAGTGAATTTCCTTAAATATGGTTCTTCTGTCCAGTTGCCTACCATTCAGCCACTGCCATCAAGTCAATTACAACTCATTGTAACAGCCCCTGTGTGTTTCGGAGGCTATAAATCTTTATAGGAGTAGAAAGCATCTGATGGTTTCAAACTGCTAACCTAGCGGTTAGCAGCCCAACACATAACCCTCTACACCACTAGGGCTCCTTCAATTTGTCTATAACACATCAAATCAATTGGTAGGAGCATGCAAATAAGGTGTAGAGGGACTCTAACTCAAGGATTTTTCAGTTCCTCCATTCTTCTATGTATAAGAGAGCCATCTCAGAAGCTGGAACAGAGAATTCTGGGGCCCTCAAGAAAGAATAGCTACCCCTGGGGCATTTGTAGGTTCTCTCTCTGAATGGTAAAGGCAGCCGAGGCTGGGCACAGAGACCATGAGCCAGAGCAAAGAGCAGCACCCCTGAGACCATGAGAGTGAGGCAGAGCGCCAGGCAGGCTTCCTGCCGAGGGAGGCAGAGGCCAGGGGACTGGGAGACTGAGAGGCTGAGGATCTGAGGGCCAGAGAGAAATTGGGCTGCTGGCTGAGAAGAGGCTCTGCTGTGGACCTATGACTCTAGGGTCAATGTTTTCTGATTCTGGCTTGTGGGAACCTGTTAGCTTCCCTGATGAACCCCCGTAATTGTATATACTGTCCGTAAGTTCTGTGTGGCCATTGAGGTGAATTATCAAACCCAGCAGAAGAACAGTGCTGAGAGGAATGGTTGGTGTCAGAATAGGGTTAAGAAAGGATAGTGGGTGGAGACATGCCTGACTTCTCTGACTTGTGGCAATCAACCGTGGGCTGGTGAGGGGATGGATTTTCCTTCTCCTTCCCGAAGCTGGAGGAGCACAGATGTGTCTTCCTGTACCAACAGTCCGCATTTTCTGTGCCAGGAATAGCTTTGGAATGCTGTGATGTATGTGCTTCTCTTCCTCTCAGTTGGAATCCAGCTCACTAGCCGCAATAGTTACTCAAGACTTAGTTTCCTGTCCAGTTCATTAACTGACTGCCAGCAAGTTGATTCTGACTCAAAGTGACCCTATACTGTAGAGGAGAATTGCCTCTTTGAGTTTCTGAAACTTTTAAAATAATTACAGGAGCAGGTAGCCATATCTACCTCTTTCTCTCAAGAAGCAACTGGTGTGTTCGAACTGTTGACTTCGCGGTTAGCAGCAAAATGTGCAGCACATGAGGCCACTAGGGCTCCTCTCTTTAACTGAGTTCAGGTTCATTATGGTATCTTTAAGATATACATAGTTCAGTGTTTGTGTGTGTGAAAGTCTCAAAAGAACTACCAGAGAATGTTTTTGAATCATTGCTTCTGTCAAGTTGTGATTGAAGTTTTACCATTATAATTTTCATTATGGATATCAACAATCATTTTAAAAATGCACATAACCTTTACTTTCCTGTAAAATGCTAACCTCTGCCAGCCAACAAAGTAATACTCCAATCAGTAATCATGTGTTTCTTTTCCTATTTAATAATCACTTAGTCTTCATTCTGTTTCCATTCTACTAAATCTGTGTATAAGGAGCCCTGCAGGTGTAGTGGTTACACATTAGCGATGATGATCCACAAGTCAGTAGTTTGAAACCACCAGTTGCTCTATGGGAGAAAGATAAGGTTTTCTATTCCCACAGAATAGAAACCCACAGCGGCAGTTCAACCTTGTTCAGGAGGGTTTCCGTGAGTCAGAATGGCAGTGAGTGGCATCTACATTTGGGGGCAGTGGTGGTCCAGTGATCAAATTCTTGCCTTCCCTGTATGACACCAAGGTTCAGTTCCTAGTCAGTTCACCTCAAGTGCAGCTACCATCTACCCAACTCTCTGTGGAGGCTTGAGTGTTACTATGATGCTAAACAGGTCTCAGTCCAGCTTCTAGAGAAAGATGGCCTAGGGAAAAAGGGCTGGCAATCTACTACTTCCAGAAATCAGCCAATGAAAATCCTATGGATCAGAATGGTCTGAGCCTCTTCCAGTTATGGGAATGGCACAGGACTGGGCACTGTTTCTTTCCATTGTGCATAGGATCAGGTCCAACTCCACAGTGGCTTAACAACAACAATAAATCTATGAACTTAAAAACAGCAATTCTATTATAAGCTGTGACTGGGTTCTCCATATTCTAACATAGAGCAGCTCTTCTATGCTTTTTTTAGTATTATGGTCCATGTTTTATTTCTTACAGAATCCTCATATGCTGAAGTCATCTAGTGAATTGATTTGTTGGATTTCTGTATTTATTATCCACTAGAATGTGGACTCCATCATGATAGGGACCGTATCTGTCTTTTTTGACAGCTCTAATCTACCAGTGTGACGTCACTGTACTGACGAATATGTGGTGAACGAAATGAGAATATGTTTGGTGCTTTCGCATGCTTGTATTTTTAGCTCTTATCATTTGGTCAATTTTCTAGCTCTGAGGGAGAGCTATTATTAAACTATTTTGACTTGTTGCCATAGCAACCTCCAGCTATTCAGTGAGGCTGGTGTGCACATTCTATCAGACAACCAAACACAAAGTATTTTCAATGATAGAATATTGATTCTATTATAATTTACATTTCTCCCACTACATTGAGAGAGGTATTCTTGATACATCTTAGGAAGATGACAGGAAATTGGAAAGATAATACAAATTGATTGATCCATACCAAAAAAGCCGGGGAATAAAAGCAACGCTCGGTCTGACTTACATTGCCACTCCCAAGCCTTTCATGCTTCCCCACCTCCAGTTCCTCCACCTACTCACAGAACCCAGGACTTCAGTGAACTTTCTTTTGCCTTTTCAGAGAACTGTCTGTCTCAGATTTGTAAGGAGATTTCGAGAGGTGAAGGAGTTTGGGGGAAATAATTGCTGCAAAACAACCCATCCTCCTCTCTCAGACCTCTCCGTCTACATTTTACGTGCAAAACTAAGGCGGCTTTAATCAAACTGGATTGGCCATCATGTTGTTGTTGTTAGGTGTTGTTGAGCTGGTGCTGACTCATAGTGCCCCTATGTACCACCAGACAACACACAGCCCCTGTCTGGTCCAGCTCAAGGCTCACAGGCACTGTGATTTTTGATCCTATTGCTGCAGCCACTGTGCCAATCTATTTCATTGTGTGTCTTCCTCTGTTATGCTGACCCTCTACTAAGCATGACATCCTTCTTCAGGGACTGATCTCTACTGATAACAAGCCACTATGCTACAAAGTCTTACCATCCTCACTTGCAAGTGGCTGTGTGGCTGCACTTCTGTCCAAGACAAATTTGTTCATTTTTTCTGGCCATTCATGGTACATTCAATATTCTTTGTAAACACTATAATTCGAAAGCATCCATTATTTTGGGGGCATTGCCCAGTATTCACATGCATCTGAGGTGATTGAAAATACTTCTGCTGGGGTATTTGGGAAAGTACACCTTAGGCTTCCAGGTGACATTTTGCTTTTTAACGCTTTAAATAGGTTTTTCATAGCATAGTTTCCCAATGCAACCCATCCTTTGATTTCTTGGCTATTGCTTCCATGAGTGTTGAGCATGGATCCAAGTAAAAGAATTAAATGATGTTCCTTATTGGTCCAGTTGTGAGGATTTTTGCTGTCTCTGTGTTGAGATGTAATCCATATGGAAGCCTGTAGTCCTTGATG